ATAGGTCTGAACTCGGACATCTCCCTGGGTTTCTTTTTTTTGGGAATGAGGCAAATGTTCGTCTGGTTCAGCAAGGGGTCGAAGGTGCCTGAGGCAAATGAGTCTCGAACAAATCTAACAATGTCTTGACGCATCTCGTTCCAGAATTTTTGAAATACCTTGCTAGTCATTCCATCCGGCCCCGGTGCTTTATCTGGGTTAATATCAAAAAGGGCTCGTCCAATGGATTTCTGAAAATGTTATGGCCATGCATGTTATCGACGAGAAAGTACCACGTACCATTTAATGTGTACTGTTAATTTGTATTGAAAAAAAAAAAAAAAAGTGTACTGTTAATTTGTATTGTCTCGTAATTCACGTGTACCAAGTAATTGTCATAATATGATGAGTGTTAGGAATGACATGGAATGATAAGGTTTAGTAATTGCCACTATCATCCTCATCCAAAAACCAATACAAACGATTTAACCTCCGATTTGATAATATTATTTGAGTTATTCTTAGGTTCACCAACCAATAGGATGGTGTTATTTTATATTTGATATTTTTTTTAAAAGGAAATAAAATCTTGTTAAATATATTATATTTTTAAATTAAAAATACAAAAAATAAATAAAAAATAATAATATTTAAAAAAACGAAAAAAACCTTTTTAAAAAATATTTAACACTAAAACCCTAAACTCTAATCCTAAACCCTAAACCCTAATACTAAACCCTAAACCCTAACCCTAAACCCTAAACCCTTGGGTAAATCATAAACGCTTTAGAAAAATCTTAACCCTTGGGTAAATTAATACTAACAATTATACTATTTTTTATTTATTTTTATCTTTTTATTTTAAACACATGTTTTTATATTAAAGATATATTAAATTATTTTTTGTTTTAAATTGTTTTTTTCAATTATTATTGTTTTTATTTTATTTTTATCTTTTATTTTAAAACATAATATAATGTTAAGATATTTTTTTAAAGATTTTTTTTCGTTTTTTGTAAATATTAATATCTTATATATTAAAACAGAAGTCATGACTTGACTTCATGTGTGATTTTTTTTAAAAATGGACTATTACTAGAAAATTATGTTACATTAAGTCTCTAATAATCTTATCATTATTATATCTTATGAAAAATCATATCTATAATAACAAAGATACGCTTAACAATTTAGTTTTGGTAAATTACCCCACACCTTCCAACTTAGTCACGCAAAATATGTCAAGAGATATAAATTTAGGATTCTTCTATTGTTTATAAGGAAATATGTCAATAATAGTTAAATGCATCCACAGTCTATTAAAAAAAATCACAGATTAGTAATATGGAATATTTCTATACCCTAACCAAATTTACACGCTATATATGTATTAGATAAATTTATTTTGATGTAAAATCTTTAAAATTATATTGTTTTAAAAAGAAATTGTTTAAATAATTCTTTTTTAATATTTTTTATAATATTAATTTATGAAGCTATAGGTTTAGTTTTTAGCAAAAATTTCTTCGAAGTTTATATTATCTTTACAAAGTAGAGTATACTAATATTTAATCAAGCTCTATTTATATTACTTTATCTAAAAATAAAATACTAATCTAACAAATAATCAAATATAGAAGAAGAAACAAACACATATTTGAAAACATGTATAATATAGAAAATTTGAAACAATCTATTTGATTAAAACACTTATTCTATAATATTATTATGTTTGAAAAACATTTACTATACATATCGTAAATATGTGATTACTATAATATATACCAATTTACAAATGAAAACAAATATTTATACAACTAACTATAAACGAAAACAAACACTCGCGCGGTTGCGCGAGTCAAAATCTAGTTTTTATTTTTAAAACATAATATAAATTGACAAGATTTTGTTTTCTTTTTTAAAAGATATCAAATATGAAATAACACAATCCTATTGGTTGGTGAACCTATAGGTTCACCCTAGGGGTTGAACCCAAGAATAAATCATATTGAGTTATTTATATGATTTGTTTCTTGAGCTCTGAACGTACACTATCTGGCCTTCATTTACACGATAAGTGAAACCATCGCCATATCACGACCTGCCTAAAAAATTATAATGAAACCATAGTTAACGCATGATGTCATTCACAACACGCTTTCGAGACTTTCTTGTGCGAGTATTCCCAGCTTTGGCGCGAGATCATCCCATGTGACCCTCACCGAGTACCAATAGCCAGGCTAACTAGTACCTATATTTGATTATATACTACCTCAAATTTTTATATCTTGTTCCAACTACTCGTTCAGAATTTTTTCAAATAAAACGAAACGAAATTTCCCGAACCAAATTCACTAGTAGAAAAATGTGGTATAGAAACGAAAAATTCGTGACTGGAACCTTTTTCGTGACTATATGTCGACATAGAAAATCGACCCAAACCCACATCAAAGAAGTTTATAATCATATGTATATATACCCGTCAGGTTAATAGAAATCGATTCACATTTCCCAAGTTCTTATCACACTATACAATGATACTACATCCGTTCCTGAAAGTAGAATTTTCTGGATTTATTTTTTGTTCCATAAAAATAGATTTTTTATATTTTTAAGGTAATTTTGTATATTTTTAAGAATCATTAATTATAAATATTTGAATTGACTGAATTTTATTAGTGGATATTTATTAAAAAGTGGGTAGAAAAACAAATAATAAATATAACTATAAACATTTATTATATTTCTTAATATGCGTAAATAGTCTAGAAAATTTTACTTTCGGGAACGGAGGTAGTAACTAAGTACGGTCACACATAACCACTGTCCTCGTCACCCATCATTAAAAACAGAAAAATAATTGTCAGTACACGAACTAAATGCCATCATATGATCCTGGACAAAATATTGTACTGAAAACAACACTAATTTATCTAATCATGCGTAGTATTATATGAATTGTTATATGTATTATGTCGATAACACCAGCAACATCATTATGAAAACTAAAATATGTCAAATTAGGAAACCAACAATTTTTAATGATGTTTGGACATATTTTTATAGGGAAAATTGTCATTTAAATCACCAACTTTCAAATTTGGTTGAAATAAAGCACCAACTTTCTCATAAGCCAAAAAAGCGCTCAACTTTTGTTGATAAGCCATTTTAGTCACATACTTTCGTCGACCATACCAATTTAGTCATATCGTCAGTCAACAGTTATAGTTGACTAACGGTATGCCTAAAATGGCTTTTAAAGTTGGTGTTTTTTTGGCACAAATATAAATCAATAATTTTCAAAATATAAGATTTTAAATATTGAAAATTTTAAACAACTATAACACTAATAAATAAAATTGTAAATAAAAAATAAATTCCATTCAAAAATATAAAATAACTCAATGTAAAATTATTAATTAACATATCCTTAATTGAGTATTTTAGTTAAAAATGATTATGTTTTTTTAATTATTTATGATTAATTTAAAAAACTATTTGTATAATTCTACAGGGATTATGTTTTATAATTTTATTGTCAAAAATTTGTTAGTAAAATTATTACTTCAATTCTTGATTTTTTAAACAAAATGAGTTATCGGATAACAAAAAGAGTTATCTATTTTGGTGAAACTTATTTTTCTTTTTAAATGCATAAAAACTCTTGTAAAAATTTATAGAAAATATATAGATTTGTTTGAAGATCTTTATTATAAACTTAAAGAATCATGAATAATTCGTTAATCGATAAATTTTTTCATTTAAGAAACAAGAGTTGAATTAATATTTCATCAAGAAACTTTTGAAAATAAAATTATAAAATATAATTCAAATAGGATTATATAAATATTTAAAAAAATTAATCGTAAATGATTAAAATATTCTTATCATTTTATAATCAAGTTACTCAATTAATGTATGTTAACTAATTATTTTACATTGAGTTTTATTTGTATTTTTATTGGATTTTTTATTTATAATTTTATTTATTAGTGTTTAAGTTATAAAAATATTTTCAATATTTAAAATATATCCAATATTGTAAAAAATATTGATTTATTTTTTGTGCCAAAAAAACATCAACTTTGAAAGCCATTTTAGGCCTACCGTTAGTCAACTATAACTGTTGATTAACGATATGCCTAAATTGATATAGTCGACGAAAGTTTGTGATTAAAATGGCTTGTCAACAAAAGTTGAGTGTTTTTTTGGCTTTTGAGAAAGTTGATGCTTTATTTCAACCAAATTCAAAAGTTGATGATTTAAATGATAATTTTCCCTATTTTTATATGTTCTCGGATGTATAACTTTGCATTTAAATGTCTGATTTATGTTTTTTTTTTTGTATTTTATCTTTCCAATGTGTTTTTTTTTTACATCTATCTTTCCCATGTGTTATGGGTCTGTTTTTAAAAGTTTAGATAACGAACTTCTAATCAGTTCGAATTTCACATCCGACACATCTTTTAGCTATCAAATGATGTTGATAGTATTAACAACATAACATATAATAATTCATAGCTATTATCATGTGATTCATATAATTCATATAGTTGTTAGTACATCATTCTTGTTAAGATGTGTGGTCATGTGGTGAAATTTCATTTACCTAACTAACAATAGTGAGTTCTATTCTTAGAAAATCCTTAAGCAAATTATAATTAGTTATAGACATATTACTGTATATGGGTGTGTTCAGGGAAGTCCGAACGTCCACCAAATGCAGAAATGGTGGACTCTTTGCTAATAGTGGGAAAACATTACTCTTTGTAATCATTAATTAACAAGGATATATATATATATATATATATATATATATATATATATATATATGAAACCTTGCAAGTAATCACCATAATTAACAACATATTAAAGCATATTACTAGTCCCAAACAGTGATATATAGAACATAGTGAAACCAGTCAAGCTCCTTTATTATACTGAAAACACCATACGAAGACACACACACATACACAAAGGGAGCCCATATATGACGGTGATGATGATTGTTCGAAAGGGATTTAGGTTTTGATAATGTGGTTGTCCATGTCAGCCACGACGTTCTTTGCGAGCTTCATGTAGTTGATCGGCTCAGGCGAGTCATCCGTTCGCTTCTCCCATATCATAGTGATCTTGCAGACGATATCATCAGCGGACTTTTGAATGAATTGAAAGATGAGGTCACACACTTTAAGCTCCTCCATCACGTGACCTTCGAGTCCTCTAAGCGTTACCGTCATGTTTTCATCGTCATTCTCTCTTTTCTCCTTGAACACCTCTTGTTTTCCATCTTCGTAATCATATATAATTGTATGTACACATGTTCATTCGTTAAATTAGCACCATATGTGTGGAAAATTCACTTAAATAAATTTGCCGTGCTCAAATAAAACATTCTATTTAAGTTCAAAAAACATTCTATTAAATGGAATTATGTGAAAAAAATACAAACATTCGATATCAGTTTTATTGTAATACATTAACTAGCCAACCTTTGATAAAAAAAAATTGATGAAAAAGATCAACTGTAGCCAACCAAAATAATTATAACTTGTAGAGTAATAGTGATGATATTAGACTGAGTGGGAGAATGATTTTTTAATCAAGCCCTATAAATGCTTTATTCAGTATATTTATTTACATCAATTTAACACCATCGTTTTCAGATGGATTATATATAATGTAAATGTATGCAATGTTACCGCATGTGTAGTTCCAAATCTTGATGGATCCATGAGAGTCCCAATCGCCTTCGTGGACTGTGACACCTTGAATGTGGTGGCCGACCGCGTCGGGGAAGAGGTGGTTCTCACTCTTCCACCTCTTGTAGTGTTTTTCTGCGGATCCTTTCAGCGGAACGTCCGTCACATATGTTCCTGACGTTGCCATGTCTCTCGATCTTTGAATTATATTGAGTGACTGAAGAATACTTTCCCTTGTGTTGGTCTTTTGTATATATAGAGAACGTCACGGTTAAAACGTAAATTCCAGACATTTTTTTTTTTACTTTTTACCACGATTCTCTCATGCATCTTGCATAATTACAAATAATTAAAAATAAGGCCATGTTGCGATGCATGTTATTCACGTATAAGTGTAAATTTTATCTGCGTACATAAGTTTAAACTTACTGTTAATTTGAATGATCTCGTAATTCACGATGAGGAAGTCCTTATCATAGAATTTATTTGTTAGGTTTGACAAAAATGCAATAATGCATATGACCACTAGTATCGATCACACTGTCACCCATATCAGGAAATTTTTACACCTTTTCATCTTAACAAATGATATCTTTTGACCCCAAATAGTAAAAAACAAATGATATCATTGTTTTAATGATTTATGCTAGAACCGTCGCCAAATAGTACATTACCAGTCATAGTCTCATAGATAATGAATCATATTTCTATCATTTCCTCATCATTGTTTTATTGATTTATTCTAGAACCGTCGCCGAACAGTAAATTTACAGATAATGAATCATATATAGGTAAAATATGGAATTCAATGTTTATATCAGTCATTAGATGCTATGTTAATGGTTTTCTCTGAGAGTTGAAAAGCGTGGACATGAGAAAGAAAAAAAGCTCTTGTGAGGGACAGAACGAGAAGACAGGAAAGACGGAGACGAAACAGAGAACAGAGGTTATCACTGGTCGTCAAGATATGTGAAGCAAAAAAATCTCATCAAAAGTATATTAAATGTTAAAAAATATAAAGATAATTTCATTATAAATATAAAACAAATAATATAGTGATATTTTCTTACTTATATAAAATATGTAAATATATAAATTATTAATTTAAAATTTTAATGGGAATGTATATTTATATAGAATTTTCTAAAAAATAGGATCTTATTCTTTTATCGATTTGTGTCAAATTTTGAACTGGTCCAAGTTAGAATCGGAAAATTTTCTTAATTTATAAAGATTATTCATTTATTGAATATTAATTTAGAGCATGAACAAATCACAATTAAAGAATCAAAATAATCATAAATAACTAGAAAAAGAGAGATTCATTTTTAAAAAATCGTCATAAATCTTATAAAAATACATATAAACACGGAGAATTCTATTTATAATTCTTGTATCTTAGCCTAAGTTTGTAAAACTTGATTGTGAAGCTGATAATTCTAGAATATTCAAATCTCAATACTACATCGACTTCAAAAAATTACTCCCTTTATTTCATATTAATTATCATTTTAGCTTTGTACACACAGTTTAAGAAAATATTAATGATTTTTGTATATTTTCTATATAAAAATACAATTATCTATATACCTAACCATATTTCAACTAATATAAAATTAAATTCCAGTATATAATTAATAAAATTTGCATTGAAAGTCGAAAACGACATTTTTTTGTAACAAAAAAAAATCTTCTACAACGACACTTAAATATGAAACAAAGAGAATACTATCAAAGATCCAATAAATGGCATGAATATTTTTTTCTTGAAAATGTATCAACTTATTTAGTTTTATTTGATCTTATATTTTTATATAAAATGTTACTGAATTATTTTTATTAAAATGAGTTTTCATCCGCGCAGATTCCTTGCCTAGTTCATATAATAAGTTTCACATATATCCAAAGATATATAGATTCCGAAGAGCTCAACGCTTAAAACATTATCATACATATTAATTAGATACTTGCAATTGCAAAAAAACATAAACTTTCACAATTACAAAAAAAAAAACAAGAGTAGATAATGTTTAGTCAATTTAAAAAAGAAAAGAAAAAGACAGAAGCGAAAACAGAGTAGAGAAAGTAAAGATAATAAAATTTTAGTTAGAGAACAATTATAAAGGTGAAGATAAAATTTGCTTAAACAAAATAAAATAATAAATCAAAACAAAAGGTGGCAAAATCTTTATTATGTTATGCTGGTAATAAGAATGAAACCCCATTCCACGAGAAGGCTGGTTACATTTTAGAAATTTAGCAACTTGACCAGAAGACATTTTAAACATGCGATCTCATGTTTCTTATCATTTGGTGACCTAAATCTAATGATTTTTCTTCTTAATACCAGGGACGGGTCCGGCTAAACACAAGAAAGGACAGCACTGATACTTCTAAAACCTCATTAACAAGGAGCGATAATTAACGACTCAGGCGATTCTCTTGTTCAGCTTCATGTAATTGATAGGCTCAGGCGAGTCATCGTTTGGCTTCTCCCAGACTAGAGTGATTTTGCAAACGATATCATCAAGTGATTTCTGAATGAACTGAAAGGTTACATCATACACCTTAAGCTGCTCCATCACGTGACCTTCGAGTCCTCTCAGCGTTACCGCCATTCGTTCACGTGAACACTTCCTGTTTCCCGTCTTCTACATATATATTCATATTCATTCGTTAAGTTAACACGATATATGTTTTGATAAACTATATAAATTAATGTTCAAAAAAACTATATAAATTAAGTTGCTGTGATTAAATTTTTAATATACATTTATCGAAAAAAAAAATTATTACCGCTTGTGTAGTTCCAAATCTTGATGGATCCATGAGAGTCCCAATCGCCTTCGTGGAGGTTAACACCGCTTGTAGTGTTTCTCCGCTGAACCTTTCAGTGGAACCTCCGTCACATATGTTCCCGACGTTGCCATCTCACTTTCTCTTCTTTGGGTACTGAGTGAAGTGTGTTTTTCTTTGTATGTCTCTTTGGTTTATGAATATTTTCACTTGTGGTGCCCATTTATATAGACTATAAAGGGTGGTTAAAAGATAATGTTCGTCTTCTTCAGTAAGAGAAAAAGGTAATTATGTAAATCGTTTTGTTTAATTTCTTCATTTTTCGAAAATGGTTTTCTTTACCACAAGTTTCTTTTCTTGCATGATTACAAATTGGATTTCTGAAAAAGTTATGGCCATGCATATTATTAACGAGAAAGTACCAAGTACAATTTAATGTGCATTAAAAAGTAGAAGAGTACTGTTAATTTGTACTCTCTCGTAATTCACGTGTACCAAGTTCTTATCATTTTTTTTTAATATGATGAGTGTTAGGTTTGACATAAAATGATAAGGTTTAGTAAATTGCACTAACATTTTATATTTTATTTTTGTGCACAAATTGCCACTATCACCGTCATCCAAAAAGCAAAAACGATTTAGCCTTTCAAATTGAATAATTCTGTATGTGATTTTGTTGTGTTTCAAAAAAAAAAAGAGACTATATGATTTTTCTTGAGCTCTGAATGTACACTATCTGGTCTTCAGGAGTTGTTGAATTTCACATCCGAACCCATCTTTTAGCTATCAAAATAATGTTGATTACCAACATACCATATAATAATTCATAGATATTATCAAGTGATTCATGTAATTTGTATAGTTTTCAATACATTATCTTTGTTAAAATGTGTGGTCATTCGGCGAAGTCTAATTTATGTAACTAACAATAATACTGTCTTAGAAAATAATCAACAACCTTAAAGCAAATTATAGTTATAGATATAATATGGGCCTCTTCATGGAAGTTCGAACGTCTACCACACGCAGAAAAGGTGGATTATTTGCTAATATATAGTGGGAAAACATTACTCTTTGTAATCATTAATTAAAAAAGGATAGATATGTAAGTATATATGAAACCTTGCAAGTAATCACCATAATTAACAGCATAATTAGAGCATATTACAAGACCGATCAGTGATATATATATATACTTAATAAAACCATTCAAGAGCCCCTTTATTATACTGAAACCACCATACAAAGACACACACACACACACACACAAATGGAGCCATATATATATGACGGCGGTGAAATTTGTGAAAGGGATTTAGGATTTAATAACGTGGTGGTCCATGTCAGCAACGATGTTCTTGACGAGCTTCATGTAGTTGATTGGCTCAGGCGAGTCATCGGTTCGCTTCTCCCATATCATAGTGAACTTGCAGACGATATCATCAGCCGACTTCTGAATGAACTGAAAGATGAGGTCATAGACTTTAAGGTCCTCCATCACGTGACCTTCGAGTCCTCTAAACGTTACCGTCATATTCTCATCGTCATTCTCTCTTCTCTCCTTGAACACCTCTTGCTTCCCATCTTCGTAAACATATATATAATTGTACGTACACATGTTCATTCGTTAATTTAGAACCATATGTGTGGACAATTCACTTAAATAAAAAGGCCGTATTCAAAAAAAAAAAAAATTCTATTCTATTAAATGGAATTATATATGTGAAAAAAATTAAACATCCCTTTCCAGTTTCATTGTAATAAATTAACCATAACCAACCTTTGATGGAAAAAAAAAACTGATCAAAAAGATCAACTTTAGCCAACCAAAATAATTATAGCTTGTAGAGTAGTAGTGATGATATTAAACTGAGTAAAGCATGATTTTTTCATGAAGCCCTATATATGCTTTATTCAGTACATTCAATTAACACCGTCGTTTTAAGATGGATTATATATAAAGTAAATGTATGCAATGTTACCGCATGTGTAGTTCCAAATCTTGATGGATCCATGAGAATCCCAATCGCCATCGTGGACTTTGACACCTTGAATGTGGTGGCCGACCGCGTCAGGGAAGAGGTGATTCTCACTCTTCCACCTCTTGTAGTGTTTCTCTGCTGAACCTTTCAACGGGACCTCCGTCACATATGTTCCTGACGTTGCCATGTATCTCGATCTTTGAATAATATTGAGTGCCGTTTTTTACTTTGGCTGAAGAATACTTTCCCTTGTGTTCTTCTTTTGTATATATATAGAGAACGTCACGGTTAAAACGTAAATTCCAAACAATTTTTTTATTTTCCTACCACTATTCTCTCATGCATCTTGCATTATTAGAAATAATTAAAAATAAGGCCATGTTGGGATGCATGTTATTCACGTAAAAGTGTAAATTTAATCTGCGTACATAAGTTTAAACTTACTGTAATTTGAATGATCTCGTAATTCACGCTGAGGAAGTCCTTATCATAGAATTGATTTATTAGGTTTGACAAAAATGCAATAATGCATATGACCACTAGTATCGATCACACCGTCGCCCATATCAGGAAATATATAAACTTTTTCATCTCAACAAATGATATATTTTGACCATAGAAAAAAAACAAATGATACTTATCACTGTTTTATTGATTTATTCTAGAACCGTCGCGAAACAGTACATTGCCGCCACCAGTCCCGAAAGGAAGCATTACAAGCAACATCTTCCAGCCCTAAAAAAAAACTTCCAAAAATCAATTTTTTTATAAGAAAATTATTATTATAATATATAAATGTTTTTATAAAAATGATCAATTTTTAAAAAATTGTTTCTGATCTTTCACATGTCAGAACCAGTTTGTCGGCATAGTCATAGATAACTAGATTTTGAATCTGAACATCCGTGCAAATAATTTTTCATTTATTAAATATAAAATTTTAATATAAGTTAACAATTTTTTTTTCTTAAATTTTTTTACATAATTTACGAATTTTTATTTTTTTAAAAGATAAATAATATTTTAGTCACTTAAATGGTGAATGATATTTTATTTCTTTGTTTAAATGATTTTCTTTTAAATATATTAGTTTACCAATTTAATATAATTTTTATATGTAATTCATTTATTGTTTCTATTTTATTATAATATAGACTATACTTATAAAATTAATAAATTAGCATATAGTATATTATATTTTGTTTATAAGAAAATTTAATTGATATTTATGTATAATAATATTATATTACTAATTACGAAATTAATCAGTGCATTAATTAAAAAAATATTAAAATTTTTAAAAATATTTTGTTAGATTTTTTTCTCAACAGATTTTAAGATTTCTAAATCTAAAATTTATAATTACATTTAAAATATATTTGTTATTAATATCTTTATAATTATTTAGAAATGTTACATATTAAATAAATTAATGTAAATAATCAAAAATAATATATCTGAATATATGAACCTAGTATGACTATTCTATAGTAGATTACAATGGTACTTCTTTTTTGATGGAGAAGATGAATACATACATGTGCTGCTGTGCAAATGATTACCCATAGTAATATACATTCATAATCGTATATGACATATGTAAACATATGCTCATCTTTTCAAACTGTCGAAGTTAATTGTATAATCATTTTAATAGGAATAACATCAACCAAAGTATATATTGGAATGTGTTCCTAGACTTATATATCAATACCATGCCTAAATTGTAAATCTACTTAACTACTCTTAACCTTATAAAATATAACGTAAAAATGAATAATATAGTAAATAATATAAAAGTCCATGGACGTCTTTTCATATAGATTACAATAGAAATTTACATTAATTTTTATCTACATTACTAATACTCTCAAAATTAATCCCAAATCTATATTCTAATATATAAAGGCACAATTCCGAATCTTCAACCAAAGATGCTATATATATTCCTCTCAAATTCAATCTAAAATAATCTCACCATAAATATTACCAGTTACTTCCAAACCCAAAGTAACAAAATATTGTAAGATCTTTTACGAGAAAAAACCATTGAAACCCAGAACTTTCAAATTAAAATAAAAAAAACTTCAAATTCGTGTTTAATTCAAAAAAGTCTTCAACTTTCAAATATTGGCCGTTTTAACTCTCATATTTTGTTGATTCAGATAATTTAAACAACGTTATTTTACTTCTGTATACACTTAAAACATCTGTTTCGTGAAACTAGAATTTTTTTTTTAGTGTTAACCGCTGAAACCGGCTAAGCATTGCAATGTTTGATTATCAACCCCTGTAATCCTTAATCTTATATACAGGAAAAACCCTATAAATTAATTATGTTGGGATTCGAAATTTTATTAGTTTATAGATATATTATTTTTAAAATTTGATATTTTATTAATTTTATTATTTTATTTGGTGTATATAATATATATTGCAAAAAATAAATGTGACTTTAGATATAATATTATTAAATCTCATCAAAAATATATTAAGTGTTAAGAAAATATAAAGTTAATTTCATTGTGAATACAAAACAAACAATATAATGATATGTTCTTACTTATATAAAATATGTATACATATAAATTATTAATTTATAATTTTAATTGTACTATATAATATATATATATATATATATATATATATAATTTTCTAAAAAAAATATTATCTTATCATTTTAACGATTTATATCAAATTTTAAACCGATTGAAGTTGGTGCTAATTTATAGAGGTGCTAGTGTATAAAGAGTTGTGAGCATGAACAAATCACAGCTAAAACCATTCATTAACAAGGAGCGATAATTAACGACATACAAAGCGCATATTATAGAAAACCCAAACAGTAACAGAAATTACTGAAGCCATACAGGAGCCCCATTTATTATATTGAAAACACCACACCAAGACATACCATACACACAGTAGGTTATAATTTTATGCTTTGAGAACATGGTTGTCCATGTCAGCAGCGATTCTCTTGTTCAACTTCATGTAATTGATAGGCTCAGGCGAGTCATCGTTTCGCTTCTCCCAGACTAGAGTGATTTTGCAAACGATGTCATCAGGTGATTTCTGAATGAACTGAAAGGTTACATCATACACCTTAAGCTGCTCCATCACGTGACCTTCGAGTCCTCTGAGCGTTACCGCCATTTTCTCGTCGTCATGCTCTCTCTTCTCCTTGAACACTTCCTGTTTCCCATCTATATATATATATATGGTTCGAGAAATTATCTAAACAAAGTTGCCATAATTATAACATTTTATAAATATATCAAAATTACCGCATGTGTAGTTCCAAATCTTGATGGATCCATGAGAGTCCCAATCGCCTTCGTGGAGGGCAACACCTTGAATATGGTGTCCTATGGCGTCAGGAAAGAGGTGGTTCTCATTCTTCCATCGCTTGTAGTGTTTCTCCGCTGAACCTTTCAGTGGAACCTCCGTCACATATGTTCCCGACGTCGCCATCTCTTCTTTGGGTAGTGAGTGAAGTGTGATTTTGTTTGTTTGTCCCTTTGGTTTATGAATATTTTCACTTGTGGTGCCTCCGCTTATATAGACTAACTAGGATTAGACCCGCGCAATGCGCGGGATGAGATGATTAAATTTGTTATTTTTAAAGATAAGAAGATATTATATCTGTTTTATTTGCATATTAGTTTGTTTTGGATTGGTTGTTTGGGAATAACCCGCATCTTACGCGGAATGAAATATTTAATAAATATAGGTTAGAAATTTATGAAGTTATAATAATTTTGTTAAAAGATATATAGTTTACATTTACGGGACGTAAAAAAATTTAGGACGTTTATAGTTATTTTAAGTTAACATTTCTATATGTGTCTACATTTGATCAAAAAAAAGTAATTGGTTTTATATCATATATATAAAATTACACTTCAAAATTTAGATTATAAACATAGATTATAAATTTATGGTTGTTTTTCGGGTAGTTTGTTAATATATAGTTATAGTAGTCTGAGACGTTTTTGTATGTATATGAAGCCTATTTTGTACTTTATGTATAATTATTACTACTAAATTACATTTTCTTACATATATATGTATAATTTCTTATAATTTTCTTATACCACGATGTAAATATACATGTTCTTGTAAAATTTATCAAAAATAACAACATAATTTGATTCACTAATATACATAAAAGTATATTCAATATATATATATATATATATATATATATATATATGTATGTATGTATATAAATGTACATAAATAAAAATATTCACCTTTCCAAATTTTAATTTTTCTAAACCTCATGACACATAGCACTAAATGTTGACCACAAAGCTAGATAGCTTTTTTAACATCTGAAGCAAACTTACTCCATAACACAAATGGGAGTCGACATCCCTAAGCTCTTTCTAAGTATATAAAGCTTTAAGGTAACTAAGCAAACTAATTGTACTAAATATTGCACAATTCAATCCAAATTTTGTTTGTTTCTTTCCCATTGACTACACAACTTCAAGATGTGTCACCTCCACGATATATCTGATTACATCTGTAAGATTAAAATACAAAACTTTGGGAACCATGGTAGTTGACATAGATTATTTAAGAATTTAGTTACTTACCAATCAAGTAATCCAAACTGAAGTTCCATCTAGAATGGTTCTTTAATTGACTGGTTGCGTTTCTCTTGGTAAATATTCAGAGTTTCTCACGCGGTTGATGATATGATGTTTATCTTGTAAAGATGTTTCGCCCGAATCAAAGAGAAGTTTGACATTTGTAAATCTGCATCTAGCCAGGAAAAGATTAAACTGGTTCACCAAATCTTCACCAAATCGTTTTCTAAACTTGCGTGAATCTTATCACCCTATTTAAGAATGAGTCAACAAATTAAATTAATGTTAGATCTTTGTCGCATATAGAACTAAAGTTAGAAAATATTCATATTATACCGTGTCATGCATGTATCATTGTATTCATTTGTTTATATGCTTACAGTGGCGTAGGTCACTAATAAGGTTACTTACATTTGCATCGATGAGGATCATTAAACAGTGAGACCACATGCGGCTGAGAACTGCTTATAAAGTTGGATTACCTTAATCTTGATTTTCACATCGATTTGAAAGGTTTAAGTGCAGAAGATGTGTTAATGACGCAATTGAAACAAAAGAGAGAAGAGTTTTGAGTTTATTCGGGTATGTGTGCTCTATTGATCATAGACAAAGACTTTAAATACTAATCTTGTTTCAGTATTGATAGTTCCATGTAATAATTATTCGATATATTGCATTAATATAACTTTCCAATATCACAAACTAAAAGAAAATGTGTTGATAATATAAATATTGACAGCACATATAAGGTAACAAAACTAATTATTAAACTTTATACGCAAGGTTTAAAATCTTTAGTCTAAAGTAAAAATTCCTAGGCAGGCTTTGTATTACCTTACCTAACCGACTACATTTAATATTTTCTATATACATTTTCTGTTTGAATATGATTTGGTAGCTTATATAAACTTCCCACTCTACTAAAAGTCATCTATTTAATTAACTAAATATTTGTTTAATATTATTAACATACATTTCAAAAGGGCAATTATAAATATGTCGAATTAGTTTAGACTAAATCAATTTTATATGTTGGTTTAGACTAAATCATTTTGACTTTGTAATATGGTTAGGATTATATAGTTATAGTTACTGGCTTAATTTCACCTGTCGACAACATGCAGCCATCGTTTTTTTTCCTATTATTTGGTAATATCTAAAAATGATTTTTTTTTTCTAAATGATGAAAAGAAAACATATAAACATATAAACATCTAAACACCTATCGTCTATTATTATGAACTTATTAATATGTCTAAGTTTTATATAACTTATAAAGAAAAAGTAAAGTAAATCCAAACCATGCATACATACGTTAACGTAAATATCATCGTCAATATGAATCAACCACTTGAAGGTTCGTTTGTATGCCCACAACCATGAATAAATACGTTAAATTCATTACACTTTAGATATGTTTGCTCATCTGCATATGTATATACATGGGTTTAATTCATTTCTCTTGGCAACCTGTTTTTTAAATATTGACTTAGTCGCATCGTAGAACCCGTCGCAAGATCTCCATCACAATTTAAATTTCGCTGTAACTGCTTGACGATTTCTCCAACTCTATCATCTCTAGCTTCTTATCTGACGTCGTACGGTTGAGATTGGTTGCTACTTGAGCTTGCAATTCTCACAAAGACGTTGAGAGAGCTCTGGAACCCAATTTTCTTAGTGAAGAAATATTTCTCATTGTAACCATGGCGTTCAAAGGTTGACGAAAACTCTGATGTCAAGAGTTTTTGGTATCTTGGCTTCTCATCGATTGACGTAAACTTTAAGAAGATCAATGATAGGAGCTGCGAAAGAAACTCAGCCAAGTTGCTGAAACATGATTCCATCCATACGAGCTTGTACACCTTACTGTTAATTCATCGAGTAGTCTCGTTCAGTGTTCTGTCTACTCCAATCACCGAGCTTCCTATACCGCTTAAGTCGAGGTTTTTCATCTCGAGTTCCTGTGAAATTGACACTAACGAAGAAACCAAAACATCGAGTTCAAGAGTGCTTTCAAAGGGTTTTGCTTTCTTTCGTAGTTGGTCTTTTATATGTCAAGACACGTAATATGGAAAGTTTAAAAAATCTGTTTTATGAATTTGACAATATTTTTTGTGAGAAGCATTCTGGAAGCGACACGTCAGCATTGTCTAAAATTACAATGTGAACGCATTTAATGCAAAATGCTTCTCTTTTAATATTTAAGGGCTTGCTTGTCTTCCTCGGTAAGAGAAAGGTAATTATGTAAATGTTTTTGTTTTCTTCATTTGCCGAAAATGGTTTTCTTTACCACGAGTTTCTTATCTTGCATGATTCCAAATTGGATTTCTTATTGCCATGCATATTATTGACGAGAAAGTAGCAAGTACCATTTAATGTGCATGAAAAAGTAGAAGTGTATTGTCTCGTAATTCACGTGTACCAAGTTCTTATCAATTATCAATTTATCATAATATGAGGAGCGTTAGGTTTGACATGGAATGATAAGGTTTAGTAAATTGCCATCGTCATCCAAAACCAATATAAAAACGATTTAAACTTTCAAACTGGATAACTTTTCATATGATTTGTTTCTTGAGCTATGAACGTACACTATCTGGCCTTCAGTTACACGATAAGTGAAACCGTCTCCAAATCATATATCACGACCTGCCTAAAAATTATAATCAAACCATATAATAAACTGATGTCATTCATACAACACGCTTTCGTGACTTTCTTGTGAGAGTATTGCCAGCTTTGGCGCGAGATCATCCCATGTAACTCTCATCGAGTACCAATAGCTACGCTCTCTAGTACCTATTTTTGATTATATCCTACCTCAAAATTTTATCTCGTGTTCTAACCACACGTTCAGCATTTTGTAAAACAAAACGAAAGTTTCAGATCCAAAATTGAAGGTCTACTCAAACCAAAATTGAAGAAGTAATGTATATAAAAAGTTAGAAATTAAAGAAGTTTATAATCATATATATATATATCCGTCACGTTAACATAAATTTACTTGTAAATCATGAATCACATTTGCCAAGTTTTTATTATACAATAGAATGATAAGTATGGACACACATTATCACTACTGTCCTCGTCATCCATTATATTTTTTTGTTCACTCGTCATCCATTATTAAAAATAGAAAAATAATCGTATGTACACAAACTAAATGCCACCACATGATCCTGGACAAAAAATATTGTACCGAGAACAATACGAATTATATGTAATCACATGATAATATCTATGAATTATTATGTGTTATGCTGATAACACCATCAACATTATTCTGAAAACTAAAAATGTCAAACTTAAAAATCAGCAACTTCTAATATTGGTGTTTAATTGGACATACTTTTATTGCATTTAAATGTCTAATCTATGTATTTTTTTTTTTTGTCTTCCTTTGAATTTGTTATGGTCTATTTAAAAAAATTTAGATAACAGTGGCGGATCTAGAAAATATTTTAACTGGGGGCAAATTTTTTTCATATTGTATATTAATGTATGTTTATCTTATAAAAATAACATTTAGAAGAAAAAATAAAATAAATAATACAGCTAAAAGAAAATTTTGAAAGTGAAAGAAAAAAAAAATGAACCACTAAGAAAATTAAATAAAAGACTTGCCCTATTTGTTAAAAACAAAATTTAAGTGGATGAAAAGATCTGATGGCCAAAAGAAATGATCAAAGGAAAAGAATATGTGAAAATGTAACACATGAGCTCAAATTTTGATTGACTAAAAACTAGCTTTAAAAGAAAAAAGACGTAACACATGGAAAAAAAAAGAAGGAAAATCAGAAAAACAAACAAGGAAAAGAATATTTACAAAAGAAAAACAGGTAAGAGGGGCAGGTGGTGCGTCGAATACGGGTTTAGTGGGGGCAAAGAAGGGGATTTGGCCAAGTAAGCTACAAGATATCTGTCTACTCTAGTGCATATAATTATTTTTGTAATTTTTAGTTGGGGCAGTTGCCACCTTCTTATGCTATGTAGATTCACCCATATCTAACAAACTTTTAATTAGAAGTTGTTGAATTTCACATCCAACACATCTTTTAGCTGCTGAAATGATATTGATAGTAGCAATGTAATATATATATATAATTCCTAGATATTATTATGTGATCAGGTCCAATTCATATGAAACAAATGTAGGGGGGCTAAGATTTTTTAAAGATTTGTAGAGTCTTTTTCTTGATTTTTTGTTAGACTATTTACAATGGGAGTGTTGAATAAAAGATTCAACAGTTGAATCACTACAATGGGGGTGTTGAAAAATGAAATTTGCTGATGTGGATCAAACTGTGTTGAAAAGATTCAAATAGTTGAATATGAAGAAAGTGGAGACCACTAACGACACATGTAACTTTTCTAAGGTTTTTCGCCATTTTCATATCTTCTTTGTTTTTTAAAATCAATTATTTTATTATAAACTAAATAATTTATTTTTATTTTTGATATGAAAATCTATCATTTTAAATTATCTATCAATAGAGACTAAGTTTATTTAATTTGGATATTTAAAAAATAATTCTTAATTCGTAAAATATAAAACCATTGTAGTGGATAAAATTTAAATATGTATTGAATGATAAGATGGAAGAAAGAGAAAATGATGCGGAATGTAAAAAGATGAAGTGGAAGGTGTTGAATCTTGAAACCATTGTACATAGTCTTAGTACTAAGACCAACTCCAATGGTGAACCTTGGAAGGGTTTATAAGTTTAAAAAAAAATAAAATTAATAAACAATATTGTCACATCGATGAATAGTTAAGAGTTTGGTTACAAAACCCCTTATTTAAGAGGCAACTCTTATACTGTTCGCGGGCCCGACTGCCAAGTGTCGGCCCGCGAGTGGTTCTTCTTTTTTTTTAATTCTAAAAAAAAAAAAAATTAAAAAAAAACCTAAGAATTTTTGCTAAAATTCAAGGATGGAAATGCTCTAATGAAGTAACATAATTTTTTGAAGAAGTTGAGCCTTAGAACTCAAAAGCTGTGGAACCGGTTTAAAAAATATCTTAACTATTTTTTTCTTTTTTCATAAGAAAAGTAATAAAAGCAAAAATAAAAATATTAATGTTATAATTAATTTTTGTTTTTCAAATTTTAGTTTTATGAGTTAGTTAGGATCCAGTCTTTTTATTTCGTATTGGACCATGAATACCTCACGTTTAGCACTGTATGTGATTCATATAATATGTATAAATAAATTATCTCTGCTAAGATACATGGTCATGTGGTGAAGTCTCATTTATGAAACTAAGAATAATATTTTCGAAGAAAATAATCAACAACGTTAACCAAATTATAATTATAGATATAATATGAGTCTGTTCATGGAAGTCAGAACTTCCACCAAATACAGAAATGGTGGATTCTTTGCTAAGTGGGAAAACAATACTCTTTGGAATCATTGATTAACAAGGATACATATATGTAAAATATATATAACCTTGCAAGTAATCACCATAATTAACAATATATTAAAGCATATTACAAGTCCCAAACAGTGATATATAGAACTTAATGAAACCATACGAAGATACACACACAAAAGGGATTGTTCGAAAGGGATTTACGTTTTGATAATGTGGTTGTCCATGTCAGCCACGACGTTCTTTACGAGCTTCATGTAGTTGATCGGCTCAGGTGAGTCATCGGTTCGCTTCTCCCATATCATAGTGATCTTGCAGACGATATCATCAGCGGACTTTTGAATGAATTGATAGATGAGGTCATAGACTTTAAGCTCCTCCATCACGTGACCTTCGAGTCCTCTAAGCGTTAGCGTCATATTTTCATCGTCATTCTCTCTTTTCTCCTTGAACACCTCTTGTTTCCCATCTTAACATATATAAGTGTATGGACACATGTTGATTCGTTAAATTAGCACCATATGTGTGGAGAAATCACTTAAATAAAATGCTGTGTTCGAATAAAACATTTTATTTAAGGTCAAACAAAAAAAACATTATATTCTATTAAATGGAAATATGTGAAATTTTTTCAAATATTCGATTCCAGATTTATTGTAATACATTAACCATAGCCAACCTTTGATGAAAAAAAATTGATCAAAAAGATCAACTGTAGCCAACAAAAATAATTATAACTTGTAGAGTAATAGTGATGATATTAAACTGAGTGAGAGAATAATCTTTTAATCAAAGCCTGTAAATGCTTTATTCAGTACATTTAACACCCTCGTTTTCAGATGGATTATATATAAGTAAATGTATGCAATGTTACCGAATGTGTAGTTCCAAATCTTGATGGAACCATGAGAGTCCCAATCGCCGTCGTGGACTGTGACACCTTGAATGTGGTGGCCGACCGCGTCGGGGAAGAGGTGGTTCTCACTCTTCCACCTCTTGTAGTGTTTCTCGGCTGATCCTTTCAACGGAACCTCCGTCACATATGTTCCTGACGTTGCCATGTCTGATGTCTCTCGATCTTTGAATAATATTGAGTGACTTTTTTTTCTTTGGCTGAAGAATACTTTCCCTTGTGTTCTTCTTTTGTATATAAAGAGAACGTCACGGTTAAAACGTAAATTCCATGTTGTTTTTATTCATTTGACGACAATTTTTTTTATTTTTTACCACGATTCTCTCACATCTTGCATTGTTACAAATAATTAAAAATAAGGCTATGTTGCGATAATGATAGAATTGATTTATTAGGTTTGACAAAAATGCAATAATGCATATGACCACTAGTATCGATCTTCACACCGTCACCCATATCAGGAATATAAACTTTTCATCTCAAAAAATGATATCTTTTGACCAAAGAAAACAAAAACAAATGATACTTATCATTGTTTTATTGATTTATTCTAGACGTCGCGAAACAGTACATTACCGGTCATATCTCTATCGTCTTCCACAAAGAGGAAATAGGTGGATCCGATGCGAAAATGATTTTTAAAATTTCCTCTTTTGTATTTTGTCAAAATCTTCTATAGTGTTTCTGAAAAATAAAAATTTGTTTTCAGATAATCAGTGAGCAATTTGGTTAAGCCATGGATTAAATTTACTATATCTTGTGAAACAAAATTATGGCTCATCTCTTCAAAATGGGTTCTTAAAAACAAATTATCATTAACTAAAGGATTTTTATGAAAACTAAATAATTAAATTATTAAGATAAAAAACATTTGAAAAAATATTCAAATGATGACATGTAGAGATATTGATTTTCAATAATTTCTGAAAAACTCTACTAAGAACTTATCTTCCGAAAATCGGCCTGCATCAAAAAGTCGATGGTCCCGATCAATACATAAACACTTTAACACATTTTAACTTTGTAAATATTAACAACATCAACTAATACAAAATTCAAATTCAATACATGAATTTTCGAAATATGGTTTAACATAGACCTAATTTGATGAGCTGTCTTTTATGCGGATCAAATGTAATTGTTGACGGGTCATCAATGGTGTCCTCTTAGGGCATGTTCAAAGGGGGCACATTAAAGAGTGTGTTTAGGGTTAAAATATTAGTAAAATAATGTATTTTGCTTAAGAACATAAGAACTAGTCAAAGGGAGATCACTTTGTTCATGGGTGTGCTTAAAATTAAAAAAAATAGAAAATAATGAGAGAAGAAAATTTATACTAAAATTGATGTGAAAAATTTTAGAAACACAAAATACAATCAAAATTAAACATACAAATATATTATTTAATTATTATTTAATTAAACATACAAACATTTTATTTAATTAATACAACGTTTAATGTCCAAATTTATTCCATATATTCTCAAACAAAAACGAAAACCCTTATTTTCCCCCTTTTTCTCGACCAATACGCGCGTGACACGTCCCCAAGCACATGAACTAAGCACTGGTCTTCAACAAGAACTCTCAAAGTGTTCTTGGGCCACTTTTCTATTAAATCCTATTTTAAAAGGCTAAGCACATAGCATATGTACCCCCTTTGAACATGGCCTTAGTATCCAGTGGCCTATAGATATTGAGATTGCTATAAAGTTTGTGCTTATTAGACCATGTAAATGGGCTTTATAAAAATCAGATAATAAAATTACATCCTGATGAGTTTACTTTATAGTCTCTATTTCATCCTCTGCATAGGTCAAGTGTCTGAAATATAGAAGCAAAAGTTCAGTTAATACAAAACCAAGCTCTGGATCCACTAAACATACATATGTCAACAAATTCTAAAGCCTTGCTTCATCCTCTGCAAAGATCAGATGTCTGAATTAGAGACTATACTAAATAAGGTAGAGACTAGCTACGTCACTTTGCACATCATTCTCATTATTGCTTACTATTTGATATTTAATTGATCATTAATTATGTACATCTTTTTTGGAACACTTTTTTTTTTGAAACACCATTAATTATGTACATCTTTCCCACGTTTTTTGAGATTAATGGGTTTTGTATCTTTCTTGAGAAATGTCCTGTATTGTGTATCTCTGGTAAAGTAAAAGTTGCTAAAATTGAACTACTTTTTCATAATTTTTCAGGCGTAAAAAAAGGTCAAAGTTATAAAAACTGGAATTCAATGTTATGTCAGTCACTAGTTGCTACGTTAATGGTTTTCTCTGAGAGTTGAAAAGCGTGGACGTGAAAAAAAAAAGCTCTTGTGAGAGACATAACGAGAAGACATGAAAGAAAGAGAGACGGAGACAAAATAGAGAACAGAGGTTATCACTGGTCGTCAAGATATGTGAAGCAAAAAAATCTCTGCATCAACGGTGTTATGTTTTTCAGTTTAGCAAAACTAAGGTAAATCCGCCATTTAAAGTAGTAAAAACACTTTGTACATTGCATGTTACACATAAAATTCGATATTATTTTATTTTTCCCGGGGGACAACTGCTATTAATACTGATCTGTACACTGCACCATCTCCAAGCAAAATGGCAGAATTTAAAATTTTAATATTTAAGCAGAGAGAACTATTAAAGCATTGGAGGTGAGATATATAATCATATAATAAAGGTTGGAAAAATAAGTTAAAAGCTTAAAGATCTGAGTAGTACAGTTATGAGAAGGTTCTCCCAGGAATCAAGGGTCAAGATCGTTTGATAAGAGACCCATAAAATAAAGAAAACTTTAATCTTTCTCCTCCTACTACTTCATTCTTCTTTCTCATTATCCAAAGAAGCTTAGACAAACTTTTTTGTTACTTAGACTTCACTCAAAACAAAAGAAAAGAGTTTTGTCTTTTGGGATTATCCTCTACTACTACTCAAAGTTTTCACTTTTTCTCCAAAAGAACTATTATTATAAATTTATAATTAGTCAAAACCTGTTTTTTCTCATCTGTTACTTGAATCCTAACCTGCTTTGCACTACCAAATACCCACAAAAAAGGGGGAACATTCCTTCAGAAGAAAACAGAGAGGGAACCATACTCAAATACTCTGTTTTCACTCCTTCATGGGCTTCTTAAAAACCACCCCATAAAATATTTTCTTTCCATTCAAATCAAACAGCCATGGAAGATTATGTAGAAAAAGAGCATGCCAAAGGAAGAAGGAGACAACCAGCAGCCTCCATCATGTTCTTGTGGGGAATCTTGATCTTTGCTCAGTTTAGTGTCTCTTCCTCAGCTCTTTCTCCTGATCAGTATTATCACCAACCCTACACTTCACCGAGGAAGGTTGGTCCTTTCTACAAAACGGCCTCGTTTCATCCCCCTAGAGCCTCAATGTCATTCACAAGTCAACATCGAGAAGCAGAAAACAGAGATGATGTTTTTAAAGAAGACAAGAGATTTGTTCACACAGGTCCAAATCCTCTCCACAACTGAAAAACCCATTTAGTAATCTCTGCTTGGAAAATCATTGTTGGTCACTGTGACTGTGAGATATAGATCATTATTGTTAGCCTTGTATTCTGTTAGACTAAGAGTTAATGATCTTGTTTCTCTTTGTTGCATCGAAATCCAATAATTATTGAAAACAATTTTTTGTATTTATTTACTTACATCAGTATGTTTTAGAAATTCCATATTCTAGCAAAGACAACAATGACTTGAAGATTCGAATGCATGGGTTTCTTCGATGATCATGTTCTTTTGCAGAAAAGAAGGTTGTCTTTTTGTAATAAGTGATTAACTAATGCTATCTTTGTTTATTCTCAAAACTTGATGTTGAATGGGTCCAAAGATTCTAAACTAGTAAACTATATAAAAGTGATGTAATTGTATTTTTTTAATGTAATTGTATTTTAAAATGTCTAATTTGTACATATGAACATGGAAGCTGTTGACTGCTCCTTATAGCTCCTGAAAAAGGGAGGACCAGAGACTTGGAATTTGGTGAAACTCATGCATAATAACTAATTTAATTAAGATGAGCCCATTGTTTTGGATCCTTTTGTTTTCCATTTTCCCCCTTTTTTTTTGATCAACAATTTCCCATTTTCCCTTTTATAATAAAATGACGACATGGTAGGCTTTTGTTAAAAAGATAATTACATATTCTTTGGTGGGGCATGAAGTAATATATAGTCTTTCTTAGTTAAACATTTTTTTTATTACAACTAGTACGTTGTCACGTATGTGGAAAAATAAATTACTTAGGGGTAAATTTCTGTAAATCTAAATGAACGAATTTACACAAACACTCACTTTAATCAAATGCTACATGATTTGTTAAGTTTTCCAATCAGTTTTCTTTGTACTCAGTTTGTTCACAGTTTGATTTGTGGTAATAAAACATTTTGGATTGAAAACCAGTCCATATCGTAGTGAGGTTTCATTAACACAAACGTAAAAGAACCGACAAAATTCCCTCTGTTCCAAATTGTACGATGTCTTGAAAGGTTTTTTATGTTTCAAATGTATAATGTTTTGATATTTTGATATTAGCTTCTTAGTTTCATGAAAAATTGTATGACCAATGGTATTTTTTAAAAACTTTTGATAATTGGTTGAATTAATTTTAATTTATATTTTAATGTTATTTTTAAAAGAAAATACATTTCTCAACTTTTGTGACTTTAACCAAAAATATCATACAATTTGAAACAGAGTAGTATTTATTACTGTAGGCCACTGATGGTTTAGCTTTAATGATGCTTATCTCATTTGTATGCGTTTGAACTTAATGCATACGGTTCTCTCGATATGGATGCCTGTCCCCAGTGACCTCTCTATATTTTCTCACATTTTGAGAACATTTATTAATTATATACGTCCAAACATATTTAATACTAATGAATACTACTACTACAGGTTTTACGAATACACTCACGGATTAGTGATTCTATTTTGTTAAGGTATACTCAAATACAAAGTCCCCACCCCCAAATAACCAAACTAACATCGCGGATGACTCAGGCAAAAATAATGAAAAAGTCAAAACCCTTTTTTGTCCAAAACAGTATATGATCGAATGGTAAAAAGAAGAGGTTGAGACGTCAACGTTAACGCATTTCAATTTTGATCAACTGTTTTGCAAAATCAAATTACACTACTCTAAGATCATTTCTAATATTTACTTTATAATTTTTATAAAAATAAAAGAACTCTATATATAATTGAATTGGATTTTGCTTCACTGATACTCTATTTTATAGTGAAAATGAAATGATAAAAAAGTTATAGAATAGAAAATAAAATACCATTAACATTTTTTATTTTTTATTTTATTTTACAGAGAAAAATAAAGTGAGATTGGAAATGTACTAAAATAAAATATGTGCGAAACTAATTCAAAACTTTGATCTGTTTGTTTGTTCCACGAATATATAAAACATTGATTTGAAGTAAGAACCACATCAAAATTGCCTATATAACAAGAAATTAATGTAAAATGCAATTTTGTTAGCCTTTATACTTTTTTGTATACAAACAAAATTATTTTATTTTAGGTCCACTTGGCTAAAGAGGAAAATCCAGTGAGAGATGTGCATGTGGAATGAATGTATTTGTAAAGTGGAAACCATAAATGGAGATATTTAAGGAGCTATACTGATTATTCAACTACCATATTTCCTCTCCATGTTTTATATTCTTTTTTGTCGTCAAAAAAAAGTTTTATATTCTTTTTTTTTTGTCTAACATGTTTTATATTCTTTCGGTTTTAGAAAATATGTCTTGAATAAATAAAAATTCAAAAATATATTTTATGCTTTGTGTATATTTAATAATAATAAATTATAATATTTCTATTAACCTGAAAATATCTCAAATATATAGAGATGTTCAGACAAATCCTCAAAAAAAAAAAAAAGTCTATTGATAAATTGTAATACTCATATCTATGTAAATGATCATGAACCATGTGATTTAATTTCATGCAACAAATTAATTGAACCTGAAACATATTTAAAAAATAACCTCTCAAATTTATCTCTTTATCATTCAACCACAAAATCTTGACTATATACCGACTCGTACTATTGAATTTCTGTTTGTTAAAGTTATTAAAAAAACACATAGAATAATATATCTATGATAAAATAATATGTTATAGTAATACGTGCGATAATCCTAAGACATACAAATTTTCTATAGTAATACTGATTTCAAAATTTCATTTTGTTATTATAGTGTGATATGTTTTCACTTTTTGGAACGTGTCGAAATGGGCTGAGAAAGTCATTGGGCTAATGTGAGCTTCAGTCCAACTTTTAAACTTATGCATAGTAACTATTCAATACATTCAAGCGTATACTGTTTCGTCTCATACATTCAAGTTTGTATATTATTTTGTCTCTCGCTCTCTTTATATCTATGTACGTGCATGCATAAATATTTTGGTTTATCTATTAAACAGTACAAAAGGCAAAACCCAGAAATAAAATCAGTCGCTCATGCATTCATTTATTTATATACAGCACTGAAACTCAAGCATTATTCTCTCAATCCCATTTCCTAGCTTAAGGTTCAGAATTCCAAAGTGACAAAAAAACAACAACAATAAAAGTCATCTTTTCTATAATTCTTGTCTCTTGACTCTTTTATCGACCTTTTCTAAAGTAAAAAGTAATTAGGGCAGCAAAGTTTGAGTTTCTTCACAGCATGGGCTACATCTCCAACAACAACTTAATCAACTATTTGGCCTTCTCTACAACTAAACCTCATCTTCTATCACAATGTCTCAAAAATCCTTACCTCTTTTTTATCTTACATATCAAACAATGTTGTATACATGTTTTTGTTTTGTAAGAAGTTTCCTTATATAGCAGTTTTGGTTATTGTCACGCTTGATTTTGCAGGCAATATTATCGACGACAACGATCATCATCAACAGCTCAGCATCGGCTCAGAAAATAACTCGCCGGCGGCTGCTGCGTCGTCGAGATGGAATCCGACGCCGGAGCAGATCACAACGTTGGAAGAGGTGTACAGAAGAGGAACAAGGACGCCTACGACAGAACAAATCCAAGAGATAGCATCTCAGCTCCGTAAGTATGGTAGAATCGAGGGCAAAAACGTTTTCTATTGGTTTCAGAACCATAAGTCTAGAGAGAGACTTAAGCGACGTCGTTGTGAAGGAGCTGATGATGTTAACAGCGTTCATGAACCACTCAAAGACGTCAAGGATCCAGCATCAGGTGATTACTATCATACATTAATTATTTAGAGGGTTGATCTACTTTAAACCCGTTCCTTTTTCCTTTTTAAGGGGATAGAAACTAGAAAAGTTTTTGTTTGTATAATAAAATTCATAGAAAGTGACTTATTATAAGTGGTAATTACAGGTTGTTATCGAGCTGATCAGACAAAGAGCTTCCCATCTTTTCCACACACAAACCCACAACCACAGGTATTTATTTTCCAATGTATGTATTAAGTTTATGTATACAAATATACATTATATGGATGTAAATAGTTGACAAGTACGTGTATAAATGTGAGAAGCTTTATTCATGAGATGTTAGGGACAATAACAAAAATGATGATTACAAAAAGGCTGCTAACGTTTTTTAATCATCTCAGTGATCGGTTTTAATATTTGTTATTTCATGTTTAAAATAGTTATCTTTATTTCCCAAAAAAAAAATTGAGAGACAAAGAAGTTCATTAATGAATTTTGTTTTCTTCTATGATCAGAATGAATTAGTTTCGGTGAATCTAATCAATAATGAAGATCATGGTACGAGTGAAAAATCTGAGAGGGCATCAGATGAAGGTAAAGACGCCATGTGGAGAAATCTTGTTGCTTCATTTGTAACTCAAGAACTACGAGAGACTAAGATCGACGAAGTAGAAGAAGAAGAAGAAACAAGGGAGATGCGAACTTTAAATCTTTTCCCGGTAATGGAGAACCAAGAGAAATCCGATTGGTTTGCAGAGAAGAAGAATACAAAAGCTAACCGAACTTGTTGCAACTATGGTTACTTCTATGAGTTCATGCCTCTAAAGAACTGAACCTAATTACCCATGTGTGAGTAATAAATTGGATGGTGAATGTAATGAAATTTTTATTTGTTGTTTGTCAAGAAATGGGTAAGTGATGATGATGTCTAGAGAGAGACGAAGACGTGTAGAAAATGTTGGTAGGGTCTGAAGTTTTAAGGTTATTTTAAAAAGGATTTTAGGGTTTGTTTTTGAGAATCTTTGTTATTTATTATCACCCGAATGTGAAGTTGGACCATGTTGGTGGTTGGGTCTGGAACTCGAACTATACAGATATGTCTGAAAGTGAAAGGTTTCGGTGATCTATTGTCAATGTAAAGAATTCTTCACATGCTTTCTCTTCTTTCTCTGCAACATTTTTTTTTTTTTTGATAAAAATGTGAATATATACCAAAAAGGAATGTTCTTACATCAGCTCGGCGAAGCTAAAAAGTTACAAAAGACCCAAAAAAAAGTGGAAAAAGCCTAATGATAACTCGGTGAAAGCAGCTAGCTTCAAAGTCAGAGGAATTTACTCGAACCTAAACCAGGTGGACAACATGTTACTGAATCTTTTCCTGCCTCTGCGAGCGAGAGCAATGTCCCGTACACAACGATCAAGCTGCTTGCAAATAGCAGAGTGAGGCATTGGAGTCTCCTCATGCAGCCTAGAGTTCCTCTCTCTCCAAATGAGGTAAATGGCAGCCTGAACTGATATGTGTTTGATGGTGAAAAAACGCTTTTGTCCTGCAACCTGCAGCCAAGAAATTAAATCATGCCAAGACCTCATCTGAGGACAGTGAATTCCCAGCCTAGTAAGCAGCATAGCCCACACCTCCTTGGTGAAGGCGCAGCCAATAAACAGATGGTCTCTAGTCTCCGTAGCTTGGTTACACAGAATACATGTGTCAGGAACGTTGACACCCCATGAAGCAAGTCTGTGTCTCACAGGAAGTCTATCAAGATGAGTCACCCAAAAGATGAAGGCATGCTTGGGAATGTGGCCTTTAAACCAGACAGAACGAGTCCAAGGAGGTTTTGAGTTTTTTGGCCGAAGATAATCCCAAGTTAAGCAAGAGGAAAACCCAGGTGACACAATGCCTGGTATAACCCAGGAAAAAATATCCGAGCCTTGGGATGGGTGAGGCAGAGGGTGGGCCATCATACTGTCTCTGACAATTGCTATACTTCTATTTCTCACTCGTTGAGAGGGTAGTCTCCAGCCAGAGGCAGTGCAGGCTTCTGCGACATTGCTTGACACCGGGATCCCCATTAAGAGAGGGCCATCTTGCCCAACAAAATGAAGCAGCGGACCTGTTGGTAGCCAATGATCAAACCAGAACTTAGCAGTATCACCATCCCGAACACGACATCTCAAGAACTTCATTGCTAGGGGACGCAAAGATAATAGGTTTTTCCAAATCCAAGAATTGTTCACCATAGGCGGGGCACTCCAAAAACTGTGATCCTTTAGGTTGTGTTTTCTCATCCAAGCAACCCACAGAGAATCAGAGTTGGAGAAGAGGAGCCAGATCAGTTTCAGATTTAGTGTTTTATTCCATAAGCTGAAATTTCGCAGACCCAAACCTCCCTCATCCTTAGGCTGACAAACAGTACTCCAAGCTACCTTAACTCCATGCTTCTTAGCGATATCACCAGACCATAAGAAGTGATTGCACATACCCTCAATCTGCTTAATGCAAGCTTTAGGAAGTATAAATGCTGAAATCCAAAAGTTGACAGTGCTGCAGATAACCGAAGAAATTAACTGCAATCTTCCTGCGAAGGAAAGAGCTTTAGTTGTCCAATGGTTAAATCTCTTGGAGATGGAGTCCAGTAAAGGAGAGTATTCAGATTTTCGAAGCTTCCTATGAGTGAGAGGGAGACCCAAATACCGGAAAGGAAAGGACCCTTGAGTAAATCCGAATTCCATCAGGTTCTCATGATCATCCTCATTTGTACCAGCCGTGTACAACGCAGACTTTTCTCTATTCATTTCCAAACCAGAGAGACGGTGGAAAGTTTCCAGAGTTGCAGTCAGCTCAGTTAAAGATGTGCTGGTACCATCGAAGAATACCATTACATCATCAGCAAAGGCAAGATGAGAGATTTTAGGGTCCCGACCTTTAGGGTGATAGCCTATGCTGCCGTCTGCATACTTTTGCTCCAGCAATCTGCCAAAAACTTCCATTGCAATGACAAAAAGATAAGGTGAAATTGGATCGCCTTGTCTTACTCCTTGTGCCCCTTTGAAGTAGCCACAGAGGTTGCCATTGACATTAATCGAGAAACTCGTGGTGGAAATACACTGCTGAATCCAATTGATGAAGATTGGAGGGAAGTGAGCCGCTTCAAGGACATGAAGGATGAAGTCCCATCGGAGAGAATCAAAAGCTTTTCTAAGATCAACTTTGAGCACTCCTCTACTAGATACGTTTTGCTGATTGAATTTCTGAACCATTTCCGTAGCCAGAAGCACATTCTCAATAAGGAGGCGCCCTTTGACGAAGGCTGATTGGTGAGGAGAAATCATGTTAGGCAGAATTGACTCAAGTCTCTTTGCAATGATCTTAGATATGATCTTGTAAAGAACATTGCAAAGAGATATGGGCCGAAAGTCAGAAATCCTATCCGCATTCACCTTCTTAGGGATGAGAGTAATAGCTGTGCAGTTCCACTGTTTCAGCATCTGACCATTACGGAAGAACTCCTGGATGGCCCTAGTAATTTCATACCCAGTAACTGACCAAGTCGCTTTCAGAAACTCTACATTGTAACCATCGGGCCCCGGAGCCTTGTGTACAGGTAGAGCAAAAACTGTTTCCTTTATCTCAGCAGCTGTGACCTCCGCAATAAGCATGTTTTGCATCTCTACTGTGCACTGAAATGCACTAAGAGAGCTAATGATATCTCGGTCAGACCCAGCCAGTGGAGGAGATTCCTTGCCAAGAAGCTTCTGAAAAAACTCAACGCAGTGATTCTCAATCTCCACTTTGTTATCAATTCTCCTACCATTGTCAATAAGAAAGTGAATCTGATTACTTGACCTTCTAGATGCCACCGCTTTGAAGTAGAAAGCAGAATTGCTATCTCCATTCATCAACCACTGAATCCTTGATCTCTGGCAGAGAAATTTCTCCTCGGCGAGGGCTAGTTTCAGCCAAGTGTTATGAGCCTCTTTCTCCAAAGCAGCCAGAGAAGCCGATGGGTTATTGAGGAAATTTTGTTGATGTTTAGCAAGGTCTTCTGCTGCTTCACTAACCCTTTTTTCAATGCCTGAGTAGTTATCTCTGTGGAAGTTCCGAATTTTCCCTTTGAGAAGTTTCAGTTTCTTGCTGATAATAAACATGGCCGTGCCAGGCACATACGTGTTCCTCCAGAAGTCCGCTACTATGCCCAAGAAGTTCTCGTTATCCAGTAGGAAATTGGAGAATTTAAAGGGCCGACGTTTTCTAGTCATCTGACCTCCAAAATGGATGCAGGTAGGGCAATGATCAGAGAATTCGGGGTCCTTGAATTCGCCGTAAGACAGTGGAAAGACACTTAACCAATTATCATTTACAAGAAGCCTATCGAGCTTCCTTGCGATCGGGTTTGCATCCTGCTTGTTCCACCAAGTGAAGTGGTGACCACGAAAAGAGAGATCTGAAAGCTGGGCTGAGAGCATACAGTCTCTGAATTCCTCCATTCCACCAGAGATCCTAGTACCACCAGTTGACGAGTCTTCAGGATTAAGAGGTTGATTGAAGTCTCCTAGAATCATCCAGGGCTTGTCTGTGATGACCGAGTTACCAGAGAGATGAACAAGATCGGACCACAGAGCTCTCCTCCCTACACGGCAGTTCACCGCATAGACAAAAGTGACCACAAAGTTTGCTTCAACGTGGGGTAGCTTGACCAGACAAGTGATCATCTGACTCGACTTGTGTAAAACGGAAACAGCCACTGAAGGAGCCCAGACCACCCAAATCCTTCCCAGCTCTGCATGTTCGTAGTTAGCAACTGCATTCCAATCTGGAAAGGTAGACTGAATAAACTTCTGACTTCTTACTGCTTTCACCCGAGTTTCAATTAAGCTACCAAAGAGAGAATTATTATGCCGAAACCATTTCCGAAAACTTCTTCGCCGAACTGATTTATTAAAGCCTCTAACATTCCAACAGAAGCAATCTATCATAAAAATTAAGCGGGTGTGGAGCGAGTGCCCCGAGGAGTATCTTTTTTCTTACTTGAGCTAGCCTTCTTTTGCTGCTTAAGTAGAAGTTTTTGGTTTCGCTTAGATATGACTGTTGTGTACTCGTCCTCTTCCTTGGCTGTGGATACCTCCTCGGAGGAGTACTCTGATGTGTCAGGTTCTGATGAGGCTGTGTCCTCTGAAGAGGAGGAGGAGGAAGAAGAGGAGGTTTGCAGCTTCTTTTCCACTCGCGCATCTTGCCTCTGACCGTCCACTGGTTTAGATGTAGTTGCCTGGATATTGTCATCCTGCAACTTGTCTAGACCTATGTCAACTTCTAGTGTCCCTTCAAGATCAGGAGTTGGAACAAAAGTAGTTTTCTTAGCTCTCTTGCGTTTTGGCTTCTTTTTCTGTTTCTCAACAGTAGTCTTATCAGCCTTGGATGTGTCTGATTTTTTGCGTGGACAGACACTTGTCTCGTGACCCGTGGAGTTGCAACTCGTACAAGTGATTGGTGCAGAAGGGCAACGATTGATGGAGTGACCCACCTCTTTACAGTGAGAACAAATCGGGGGGAGCCACTGACTCTTCACCAAAACCCTCTGAATATGACCAGATTGAAAGCGAACATTCACCGCCTCGGGAAGTGGTTTGGTGGGGTCGACAATGGTGTAGACTCTTGCCACTTCCAGGTTGGTCATGTTTGCAGTTAAGGGGTGCAGAGCAATTGGGTCACCAACTAATCCCGCAATGTGCTCCAAGCCTTCTTCGTTGTAGAAGTGTGGAGGGACATTGTAGAAATCAATCCAAACCGGGGCTGCAGTGAGCTCTGGAGTTTCAGGCTGAAGTCCCGGTTCCCACTTGGCAACGAACATTGCTTGGTTCTCAATGTGCCACATTCCCTGATCCAACACCTTCTTTCGGGTAATAGGACATGGAATCTTGATGAGGAAGGACCTATCTGTAAGCCTTGAAACAGTGATGTTTTTAAGCTTGTTACTCCAGATACCGTTTGTAATAGCGTGAAGAGTCCCCGGGGTTGGAGCTCTGCCATTAAACTGAGCAATGATGAAATTTTCCCAACGATGCTTGTTCTTGGCGATGACAGAGTTTGGGATCTCAACACAAGCCTCGCCAGAGTCAAGAATAAAGGCTTCACCTTTCTTCTGCATTTTCTGGGAAGAGCCATAGGCAACGTCTCGCCAAGTAGGTTTTGGGGAAACAGGGGCCGTCGGGGTGGTTTCAGGAGGAGCAGAGCCGGCCGGAATCCCGGAGTCAGGGGAGACAGGAGGGGCGGACTTGGAACCAGCTTGAGATTCCGAGCTGCTTCGACTGCTCTGAAACGAGGAGTCATCGGACGGGACAGATTTGGAGGGCGGAGGAGGGATCTTGGACGGAGGGGAGGGGTTTTTGGGATGGGTTGATTTGGGTGAGGTATCTGGATTAGGGGGGGTCAGGGGGAGTGGCTTGAAAGGGGTTCGCTTTTTCTTGGCCATGGGTTCAAGGCGACGTCGGAGGCCAGGGCCAACGCCGGTGAAGCAGGAGAGAAGAAAAAGGGGGGGGGGGGCGGCGCTCGAGGAAGAGTCTTGTGTGCTGAACGTTTGATCACGTTTGGACGATAAAACACTTGAACTGTTGTTATCGATCAAACAACTTCTCTGCAACATTTAATAAGACTATATAAGAGAGACATTCGATGCTGACATTGCACTGTGTTTAGAATCCCTTTAGTTATTTTTCAGTGAGTTTAGCATATGTGCGGTTTATTAGCAGAAAAAGGTGAGTAGCAAGTGATTGGAACCTGACATTTGACTTTTGATAGAGTGCACAAACAATTTTTAATGTGTTGCTCATTTCCCATTTGTTTTACACATTTTATTTAAAATATCTACCAAGAGTTTCTCAAAAAGAACTTAATTACATGAATCAAAAGGTAATAGCTTATGTCTATTCTATAGTTCTTCTGTAAAATCATTAGATAATAATCTACCAGGAACATAACACTGACCCATCTTCTGTCTCTTTAAATAACATGAATGTATTTATATGATGGTATGAACAAAAAATCTGCCTTTTGAGATGGATGAGGAGGAAGAAAGATTCCTAAAGATAACAACACGAAGCATTTATAACTTCGACCATAACTCTTTAACTAACTCTATTGTTTCTGCACCTAAAAGATCAGTACCACGTTTTATCTTTCCTAGTACAACTACAATAGGACAGAGATAGTTTTGTCCCATACATTTAACATTTCTTTTTTTTTTTGTCAAACATTTAACATTTCAAACAGCTTGACAATTAGGAAAAAAAAAAAACACAAAGCAGTATCCAATGGTCACTTGTTCATTACTTAAACTTTCTTCTACCTCCAACTGTTTATGAGTTCTAGGTTCTAGCTAGTTCCCATGACTTTCTTCAGTGTCTAATTACTATAAATTCAGAGCTATAATCACAGAAACATCAAGTAATCACTACCACACTTTATTGACCACATATAATCTGTAGACATAACTACAGAGACCAAACAGAAACAAATTGTATTTCAACAAGCAAATGACACAAGAAGGGCCCATTTAGCCATGTTATTATTATTGTTCAGAGTACTAACACATGCTCATGGGTAGATCACTGGAGAAAGGAATTTGATAAAGGCGACTGGCTTGTATTTAAGGGACATAGAGAGGCTCAGGCATGTTTTCTCTTTGAATCCTAGCATAAAAAGGGATTGTATAAGCATGAAGAGTAGACTCATCGAAAATTGTTGGTTAAAGACTTTGTATTAATTCAAATAGAACAGAACGTTAAATAAAAATTTACCAGTTGTCTTGTGCCCATTTGCATCCATCAGATTCTACTACATGTAAGCTATATGCATGTCTTGACTTGGGGGATAGATTCTCAAAACTGCATCCCAAAAACCACAATTAAAACTCAGCCAAATCTAGACTAATAAACAAAGCTATTTCATCTTGGAAGATAGAATGTTACCTTTGATGGATTAGATCACCATGAATGGCAATCATTGAGCCTGCTTTCATTTCAATAGGTACAAAGTCTTTCTGCTCGTAAGAAGGGGATGGCCGATCATAAGTTACACCATTTTCACCCCGGACAAACCTTCTAACCAGACCGTCTGAAACAAAAGCATATGAAAGAAAAAGACTGCTTTAGCTAAGAGAAATTCACAAACAACACAAAGAGATAGAGTTTAAACACTCACTCTTGTGAGATCCAGGTATTGCCCAAAGACAACCGTTAAGAGTTGTGGAATCTTCTAGAGCCATCCAGAGACCAGTACAACTAGGTGGATCCGTGTACACATAAGAATTATCTTGGTGCGGCACAACTTCTCCTCCAATTCCAGGTTGCTAGTAAGATCAATAGCCCAAATGCATAGTTGATAAACTCAAGTTAGGTTTATTATTCAAAATAGATAAGAGCACTATCTAGAGATAGCTTTTGAATCTTTAAACTTAACTAGAAATACTCTGAAGTTGTTCAGATAATAAACAAATAAGTGATGATTTGAAACACTCAGTTTGTATAATCTATGAGGATCTCAGATCAACATATAATGTGAACACATGGAATTTTTTAGCAGCATATTTTCATTGATTTAAGTCGTGTGCCAGAAAAATTAAAAGTACCTTGAAAATGTACATAGATTGCATGACGACTGGTCTCCTGTAACCTAAGGACGATACCAAACTTGAGACCTTGGAGGAATATGTGAATTCTTTATACAATGGGTCAAGCTCGTGCAGTGCTGCGCCAACAAAAACACATATTATCAAACGTGTTTCTCCAACCAAACACAAAAGTTTTTTTTTGTAGTAAACATGTTGAAAAAATTCATACCATGTCCAACTTTGTTTATAGAAAGCTCTTTTGGTTGCTTCAATTTCCCATCGTCTCCAAAAGCTTTTTCTGAAGTTTCAAAACACACAACAACTCTTCACAGTACGCAAACAGCAAATAGAGAGATTTTAACAAAAAGGAGTAAGACAATTCCAACTAAAATGATATTAAAATTTACAAACACAAATTGAACTGCGATTACGTTTACGAAGATTCATATTTACATTCATTATATTGTTTTAAACAAGAAAAGGATAATGTTCTATTAGTGTTTTCACTATATATCTCAAATTCATTGGACGGAACAGTCAGAGTAAAAATGTTTATTCAAAAACAGAACATTTGCACAAATACAAACAAAACCATTCGGAACACTGTGAAAAGAGAGGTTAAAGGATACCTTCAAAGAAGAAGGAGATTTTTGCAGCGCTGTCAAAGAAGTAATTATCCTTCGTATGTTGCTGCAGAAGAAACATGATAATATAAGATTTAAGTAAGTTTTAAATAAGAGAAAAACATAAGTATGATGATGGAGTGAACCTGATTAGTAGTGGAGAAAACAGAGGAGGAGTCTGAAGGATCAAACTGAGCCAGCAACTCGCCCATCCTCTTCCTCAAGCCTTCAATCTCATCCTCGCTCGCAAAATATTCGATCACCAAAAACCCTTTTTCATTATTTCTCAAATTAATTCACTTCTTCTTCTTTTTCGTTCATCAATCAAAACAAAAACAGAGAACTGAAGTTAAGAGAAAGTTTCAAACGAACCTTGAGAGTAGAAAAGCTCGAGCTGGTCTGGAGTTAGACTTCCGGCGATTCCCATCATGCGGTGGTTTCCGCTAACTGAAAGAGTATTCGTGCTTCTAATCCTCCCTTGACTTCGATCACCCAAAAGAACAAGAACAAGAAGAAGAAGAGACCAAAGTCTTATAAAACTCAAATAAATATTCAGACCCTTTCCCCCCACGCGCAACACGTTGACTTAAACCTTCACCTTCAGCTTTAGGGCCTATTGTATCATTAAGCCCAATAGTAATCTTTATATCCATGCGCCTAATGGATCGGATCAATGCGCAAAAAGATTTACATAAGTACATTTTTTAAAAATTCTTTTAGTTTTTAATATTAAATCTTGCTTTGAAATTGCAAAGAAAGTATTGATTTTTAATAAAACGGTATTCTTTTTATTGAAACTAGGTGTTTTGCCCGCCATGCGGGCTTCAGGTATTTTATAATTATACTAGGTCTTGACCCGTGCGTCCGCACGGGTGTATTATTATGTATTGCAATATTTTATATTTATTATTATTTACTTATTTTTTATATTTTGTATAAATGTGGTTTAGTTAATATTGTATTTTTCCATGTAAAAAATCAAAATGTAGACGCGCATGTGTATTTTCCTGTTGTAATAATCGATATTTATTATTTTTACCTATTTATTTTATATTTTGTATAAATGTGATCTTGGTAATATTATATTTTTCCATATATTTAGTATTTAGTAAAAATATTCACGGTTTTATTTTTGAGCACAATGTGACAAAAAAATTGTAATGGTAAGCAATTTAAGATTACGAATATTCTAAAGATTTTGCAATGTTGTTATCCTAGTAAATCATGATTAGCAAGTGTATCTCCTTTTTGTTATTAATGTGATGGCTTTAAATTAAGAGTTTATTATGTTAAGTTAGTAATTAGTCAATCATTAACATCTAGTTGACTTGTTTATGTAAATTATTATAAAATCTATAATAATTGATTTTATTTTTGAAAACTAAAAATTAAATATATTTCGAATTCTGTTTATTAACAATTAATATATACTAAACCGTATGGTTTTAAAATTGAATCAAAATCATATAATACATGTAAACCAGTTTAGTGGTTCTCAACAATTACATTACTAAACAAACTCATTACCACAAAAAAAGTTATGGAGTAGTCCTGGTTCGAGATGTTAATTCAACATTTTGGGATTCGACTTAACAACATTGGTTCACTAAATTATTTAAACCATTTCATGTAGACATTTGGTTCGTAGTCAAACAAAAATTAAGTGTTAATGGGCTTGTGGCTTGCTAATCTCCATGAAAGCCTTCTCTACTTATTAATTCATGTATTGTTAACACCAGTGGCATGTAATGGTAATTTTTTAGGAAAAGTTAGGGGTATTTCAAATGTGTACTTCTTTTTTAATAGATTAGATATATTAATTAAATATATTACTAATTAAAATTATAAGCATATATTATTGTTTGTGTTTTCATTTTGAAAATTTTTAATCTTAAAATTATTCAAATATTATTTTTTCATTTATAAAAATTTATGTATTTTAATTAATTAATATTTAATTATTTATTTTCTGTTTTTGAATTTTTAAATATTTTATCAAAGATAGCTTTCAGATAACAATACAATATATATATGAATTATCTGTTTAAAATAAAAGATATTTTGGATTTGGATAACTCTTATTGTTATTGTTTAAAATAATGTATCTATTAAAATAAATTTAAATTCGTTTTTATATATAATTTATTTATTAATGGTATAAACGATATTAACCGCGCTAACTTTTAACGTGGGAACCCCGTTACGAAAAATTACTTTGCTTAAGCTTTTTATAATTATTTGTTAGTAAATATATTACTAATTAAAAATCATTTTCAAAATTTTTACTTTTATTATAAATTATTCAATATTATTTTTTCAATTATATAAAATTAAGAATTTTAATTAATTAATATTTAATTATTGTTTTCTGTTTTTGAATTTTTAAATATTTTATGAAAAGATAGGTTCAGATAACAATACAATATATATAGGAATTATCTTTTTAAAAGAAAATATATTTTTGATTTTG